TGTGTCTATTGGCCATCCTTCTTTCTTCTTCAGAGAAGTTTCTCTTTAAGTCTTTAGCGCACTTATTTATTGGGCAGTTGTTTCTTTGAGGATTTGTTGTTGGGGGATTTAATTTTTTGAGTTCCAGTGCCTCCATCAGAAAGAATGACATTGCCCCATTTGTTAGGAAATGGAAAGACTTGGAAAAAATTATATTAATTGAAGTAAGCCAAGCCCAAACAAACATAGGTCCCATGGTTTCCCTTATTTGCAATATCTAGTATATGTATGAATCAAGCAGAAAAGGTCAGATAATGTGATGTTAGGAAAATGAATCCTTAGATATGTATTTTAATGTTTTTTTTCTTCCATGCATTTGTTTCTAACGCATTTATAAGATTATTTCTTTGTTGCTTTGTATGTCCCTCCCTCACAGTATAACCCCTGCTTTCACTATATTTGATGTCGGTATAATTTGTGGAGGAGATGGGGAAAAACAAGTCATTTAAGGATACAGGTGGACCTGTTGCAACAATGAGACGTACAAGTTGTCATGTCAAAAATGAACTTTACAACTTTGGTGGGGGGGCTGGGAGGATTGGAGGGGGCTGGGGGTGGGGAGGCTGGGAAGGGAGGTGAAGGGTAAACAAAGGAGGAGGCTGCAATGCTTGATAAGAAATGTACTCATTATCTTGCCCATGTAATTGTAACCCCTCTGTACAGTATGTTCACAAAAAATTAAAATTAAAAAAAAAGATGCAGGACACGAGAATCAAATACAGTGGCATCACAGGTTGTACCATGGGGGAAGAACATACAAAAGAAACAAAAAAATCATAAGGTACATTATAAATATATTAAAAACAACAGCAAGAAAGATACTATCACTTGTGTCTCTATCTTGGGTTCATTTCACTTAGCATCATCTTATATGGTCATATGTACATAGCTTTTGAGCTGTTCTGCTTGTCCTAGACATACACTAGTCATTGCAAATAAGGAAAACCAGTTTTTAGAAATTTTAATTTCTTTTGTAGTTTGTCTTTGATTTTTGTTTCTCCACATAAAGTTGAGAATGGACATTCAAATTCTTTTATGTATGTTTGCCAGTCCCAAGGCTTGAACTCAGAGTCTGGGTACAGTCCCTAAGCTGTAGCTCTACTCTTTTTTTATGTTTTTTTTTCTTTTTGTGTTTTTTGTAGTTTATTGGAGAGAAGAGTCTCATGAAATTTCCTACCAGGCTAGCTTCAAACCGCAATCCTCAGATCTCAGCCTCCTGAGTAAGTAGGTTTATAGGCATGAGCCATGTGCCCAGCTATAATTGGGGATCTTATAACTAAAATACACATATCTTTCAGAACCTTCAAAGAACTTGTCAAAAAATATGTACCTAAACTACTGTTTTGGACAGAGTTTTTGAGCATTAGCTTGCTCTGGGGTCTAGAACAGGAAGTGAACATTCAGTGTGACACACAACAGCCTTGGAGCTACTTCGTGTCTTCATCGAACTCTTTCCAAAATCAAGGGGGTAAATTTCATACTACATACTACAGAAGGATTCACAGAAAGAGCAGAGCATCATTATTAGAATTAATGCCTCATGAAAATCCTACTAATCCTATGAGAACCTCATGGTCCTCTCCCTCAAGAGGGAGCAGTTCTTCTGGTTCACCAATGTAATAATTAATCAAAATGGTTAGGATACCACAAAGTTAGAGAATGGAGAATAGGATTGATATTAAACAACATTACAAAATGGGTCACTATCGACATTACTTCTGCCACTTTTAAATGCCCTCATAACAACATCAAAGACATCACAGGTGATTAGTAAATAGAGGAAAGAACCACAATAGATTAGTTAGTGAATGTGCTCTTTTCTAAGCAAAAAAAGCCCTGAGCTTGGTTGCTGTACTGACATTTCCCTTCAGAAAGGAGTACCCTTGGCCTTACATACATTTCTGTGGGACCTCTGCTTCTTCCCGTTTCTCCCTGGCTCAAACCTCCAATGCGCATTCATCTTAATGTCTCACGCTCCACTGCTTTTGTGCAGCACTGATATGGTGGAGCGGTCCTCTGAGACGCCTGCCCAGGGTGGACTTATCTCCTGAGTGAGTAGTTATTACTATTTTAGTTAGTGCTCTGCTTTTCTCGCCCTGGTCTTAGTTATTTTGTATCTCAGTTATTTCAATGGGCACGAATGTATTTTTCATACCTATGGTTTATGGCATGATCTTAACATTAGACAGTATTAACTGTTTTTCTGACCTGCCACAAAGCACGTTAAAAATCATATATCAGAGCAAAAGATGTTCAGCATTTTATTTATTTAAACTAAAAGTTAATTTTCATGACCAAAAAAAAAAAAAAAAACCCGGCCATTTCTACATCGAGGTTCAGAAGACCAGCAAACATTAAAGTTTAGGAAGTCCAATCATTTGATGCACAAAAACCATGACAAACAAAGTGAAAGAAAATTTTAAACCTAATACTAAGTGACTAGGTTGCTACAGACTGGAAGTTCCTCCAGAAGGATTAGCTTCCTTAAGTATTTTAAGTCCAGTCAACCTATGGTGCTTCCACATGTTAGTGGCTGCATACACTAATTTCAGCTGGCATAAGCTTTTATAAAGTATGCAGAAACACAAGGCAAGGCATGCATTAAAATGTGATAATAACACACTTCAGGGACATGCAAAGCATGAGGCATGAATCTGAGTGCCTCTGGCTCCCATGAAGAATCACGTCCCAGAATCAATGCCCTTCTGTAAGCAATGTATAAGCAGTGTGTGTGTGTGTGTGTGTGTGTGTGTGTGTGTATACATACATATATATATATATATATATATACATATATATATATATATGTATGTATGTATATACAGGATTTTGCTGTGTAGGCTGGCTTCAGACTTGCGAACCTCTTTGCCTTAGCCTCCTGAGTGCTAGGGACAAATAATCTGGTCACATCATATTTGGAAGGGAAAAATGATCAACTTTCTTTTTTAAAAAAATAAGTTTTTTATTGTGAAAATACTGTGCAGAGGGGTTACAGTTACATGAGCAAGGTAATGAGTGCATTTCTTATCAAGCAGCAAAAATGGTCAACTTTCTAATTGTAAATCTTCTACAGTTAAATTTTAGCATTTTACTCACTTACTTTTTTTTTTTAATTCCAGGAGAGCTAGATAGCGACCGAAGAAAATATGTTTTGGGCTGGGAAGTTGACTCAGTGGTAGAGTGCTTGCCTAGCATGCATGAGGCCCTGGGTTTGATTCCTCAGCACCACATAAACAGAAAAAAGCCAGAAGTGGTGCTGTGGCTTGAGCTGAAGAATTGAGGGACAGCACCCAGGCCCAGCGTTCAGGCCCCATGACCATCAAAATCAAGTTGTTGTTGTTGTTTTTTTTAAATCAAAGCAAGTGTAGGAGTTATTATATCAAGAAGGACCAAATCAATCTTTAATAAAACTAACCACTTCCCAAAATACCCATAAGAAAGAATTCTTGTGTTTAACATGTTTTAGAGGCAAATAACTTTCTTAGAAAGAGTGCAGATATTTTCAGGAGCTTTTAAATTATCAGACAAAAATTCCTAATAAAATGAAAAATGATGGTCATTTTAAATACATTTTAAATAACCAATAAAAACAGATCTACTTTCTAAATACACAAACATATTTAAAAAAAATCTTTAGACCAAAAATGCATTATTAACTATAAGTATCAAAATGTCATAGTAAAATTATTCATTTAGCATTTCATTTAGTAAAAATTAAGAATAATAAAGAAACGGTCAGCCTTTATATAGTACACATGAAGAAATCAGATCAAATTAAAGTACCCAATGCGGCCACTTCCCAAATAACTAGTTGTTTGGCTGAGCCTTGCAGTTAAAAATGCATAGTTTCATATCTAGGCACTCCTCATGCACATATTTTTTTTAATGCATGTGTACTAGTCCTGGAGTTTGAACTCAGAGCCTAGACACAGATTTTTTGCTCAAGGCTAGCACGCTACCACTTGAGTCACAGCTCCACTTCTGGCTTTTTGGTGGTTAATTGGAGGTAAGAATCTCACTGACTTCATTCATACCCAGGCTGGCTTTGAAGATGAAGGGACCACAACCTTCAGATCTCAACTCCTGAGTAGCTAGGTTTACAGGCTGAGCCTCAGTGTCTGGCTTATGCATAGATTTAAATTTGATTAAGGATGAACTGATAGGACAATTCTATTGCACACTTAAACCCAAATGTGAAATCCACAGTAATTTTTCAGGGATTAGAAAAACAGTATCTTTAGAGATCTCACATAGGAAATTTCATCTCTTGACACTCGTATAACTTTTGAATAACCTCTAGAAATAGACCAAAACATTTTTTTTTGTCTGTCTGTCTGTTGTGAGGCTTGAACTCTGGGCCTGGGCGCTGTCCCTCAACTCTTCAGCTCAAGGAAAGCACTCTACCACTTGAGCCACAGTGTTACTTACAGTTTTCTGGTGGTTTATTGGAGGTAAGAGTCTCACAGGCTTCCCTGCCCAGGTTGGCTATGAATGGCCATCTTCAGATCTCAGCCATCTGAGTAGCTAGGATTACAGGCATGAGCCACCAGTGCCAGGCTCAGACCAAAACATATTTATATGACCATATATTGACATGTTGTCATAATCAAGCAATCTCTCTCTCTATTTCTGTTTGTTCCTCACTAGGAATCCAATAGGCAAGCTACTGAGTCACAGTCCTAGACCCAACAGTTTCAGAAAGCTATTTCCCACAGAAATTGACTGCCTAATTATGAAAATACATTAATTGCATTTAATTATAAGTTACTAAAAATATTCAACTTATTTCAAACCTTAATGCTCCATCATGATTATTCTTTGTATAAGAAAGGAAAATGTTATATTTATCCATGTTATTATTCAACTGTCTCAGTACATCTTATCTATTTCTAATGTTCAAAGGAAAAAAATCATATAAATTTCTTTCAAGATATATAGTTAACTAAATCTTTACCACTTACCTTTTGAAACATCTTTAATTATTTTGCCATATAAGTCATAAAGATATCTAGCTGGTGAATGTAGATTCATTCTTGTTGTGCAAATATCTAAAACCTACACAGGAAAAATGCATAAACAATGTATTATAGTAAACTCTGTTTTAAATTGAACATATTTTTAAAATACTTCCTATACTATAAACCTATTAAAATTATAATAGTTTATGAAGAGTTTCCAATATATAAATTAAAAATGATGCTCCCAGTCCCTTTTCCTCTTAAGTTTTAGATAGGGTTTTACCCTTTTGCCCAGTGGCCTTGGAATAAGATTTTTCTATCTTCTCCTTCCCAAAAAGCTGGGATTACAAGCAACGTGCCACCCCACTCACTCCACTTTTTATGTTAAATTTTAACTCCCTTTGTTTTTCTTTTAAATTCTGTTCAGGGATTGTATTTAAATCATCATTTTTCCTCACCATAGTCAATAGCCTTTGGCAGTTTTGCCATTTTCACGAAGCAACATCAGTTTTTAATCATTAGAGGAACATAAAGCCAACTTCTTAAATAGCAAGTATTATGACTTGTCATACAAAAACAGAGAATACCTTTTCATAAGAAAGAAACCAAGAAATCCAAAGATAATGACAACTCGAGCATAGTCAGAAAGGTTTCCAGATGTGTTCTCTGGATTGGGGGCTTTAAAAAAAATGATGGTAACAAGAGACTACTTAGAAACCTTTCCCAGAAGCCTCTTCTCATATCTCAAGTGTATAGTAGAATAATGTATTCATTTCCAAACTATTTGTTGACAAGAGACATGTGACTACCGTAAGAACTTTGGCTATTCAAAATAATTGTAGCTTTCCTGGAGTTGAAAGGAAGAACCTTAAACAGACTTAGCCCTGTGTAAAATGGCTGAGGCAGAAAAGGAATGCTGGATAGACAACCCCTGTAAATATTAACAGATTTTCTTATTTTATTTCCTAAGATTTGTACAAGGCCAGTATTCTGGCACTAAAAACAATTAGTTTTATTTGAGCATAATTCTACAAAATTGGCATAAATTTTATTTTTCTGGTTTATCAGAACCATAATAAAAGATAGCATTAATAACGAAATGAGTTAAATTAGAAAAAGTTAATTTTCACTCAGTAACTTGAAGTATTTTTATGACTACTAATGGTCTAGTGAGTACGAGAATAGAGTAGTGAGCAGAACCAGCCAGCGTAGCTTGGACATGGACAAAGGCATTTGTAAAATGAACACACAATTGGGGAGAGGAGGGAAAGAGGGAGAAAAATGAGGGAGGGGGGTAACAAGTTAGATAAGAAATGTACACACTGGGGGGGGGGGCTGGGGGGGGAGGATGGAATGGGAAGGGGAAACAAAGGAGGAGGCTGCAATGCTTGATAAGAAATGTACTCACTATCTTGCCCATGTAATTGTAACCCCTCTGTACAGTATTTTCACAATAAAAAAAAGAAATGTACACACTACCATACTTATATAACTGTAACCCCTCTGTACAACATCTTGGCATTAAACTTAAAATTAATTAGTTAATTAAATATGCAATTAAATATGCAGTAGGGGGCACCAGGAAGGCTTTTCAGTAGAGATAAATGGGATTTCTCTGGAATATATGGACAATCGTTGTAAAGAGGAGGAACCATTACAGATAGGGAACACACATAAAAGCCCCAAGACAGAGTCAACAAAATGAATTTCAGAAGGTGAAGGGTCACAGCAATCCCACTTCTGGACATTTCCCCAAATGATCACAAACAAGGCCATACTAAAGCTACCAGCACAACTATGTTTATCACAGCATTATTCACCATAGCTAGGATATATGTGTGTGTGTATGTGTGTGTGTATTTGTTATATATCCATTTGCTAGGAAATGGAAAGACTTGGAAAAATCATATTAAGTGAAATAAGCCAGGCCCAAAGAAACATGTCCCATGGTTTCCCTTATTTCAATAACTAGTATACATCTAGGATAATCTTACCAGACAAGCAGAAAAGGTCAAAAGCTATGAACATATGACCATATAAAATGACGCTAAGCGAAATGAACCCCAAGATAGGAACACAAGAGGCTTTGTCTTTGTCGATGTTGTTTTTAAGGTACTACGTGATTTTTTTGTTTCTTTTGTATTTTCTTCCCCCCGTGGTATAACCCCTGTTTTCACTGTCTTTGATTCCAGTGCCCTGCATCTTGTATATATGTTTTTCTAATTTGGGAAGGGGAAGAGAAATAACAAAATGCTGAATAAGGATACAGGTTAACCCACTGGAACAATGAGATGTACAAGACACTATGTTGAAAACCAACTTTACAGCTTTGAGGGTGTTGGAGGGAGGGAAAAGCTGGGAAGGTAGAGAGGGAAGACATGATAGGGGAAAAATAAAGGAGGGGGTAACAATGATAGGAAGTATACTCATGTAACTGTAAACACTCTGTACAGTATCTTTACAATAAAATATATATTAAAAAATAAAACAGGTAAGAGAAAATTTAGTCTCTCTACCTATCTTTGATCTAGAAAGAAAAACTGGTGTTGCTAACTCAGAGTATTTATATAGCAAATAGATTACAATAGTATACACTATTTGAACCTAAGACCAAGCCATTTAATTAGGAACCAAGGGAAGAATATTAGAATAAATTTAGCAAGCTGAAAACTATAAAAATAAAATGGATAATTATGAAATTAGAGCTCTGAATTACTAAAAATATTTCACCCTTTGCAGTTAATTGGACTTATTCAGTAAGGAGAGCTACAACTTATGAAGGAACTTTTGAGAAAGGGTCTGTTTCCACAGAATTTTTCTCCCTAACTGAAAAATTGGTCAAATAGATGATAAATTCTTAAAGAATTAAAATTTATGTCATGGTATAAATCCCTTCAGAGGCTAACACACCAGAATATTAGGTTAATATATATTCATCTTATTAAGTACCTTAAATATAGTTTTGAATAAATCTTGGAGACAACTTTATTCTTATAAAGGTAGGCATCAGACTAAACACCCAGATGTACTTATTTGCTTTTACAAGTAATGAACATCATTATGACTTATAAGAAGTATTATTTCTTATGAATTTGTTTCTTGTGTTATTGGAATGAGTAGTATGTAAATGTATCTAATTTATTAACCCATACTCTTTAGATTTTTTCCTTTCTTTTTTTGTGGTTCTAGCAATTGAACCCAGTCTGTAACAACTAGATAAAATCTCTACAAATCATGTGCACTATGGCCCTCAGGCATTTCTTTTCTTTTCTTCCTTTTTTTTTGGTCGCTCATGGGGCTTGAACTCTGGCCCTGAGCACTGTCTCTCAGTCTTCAGCTCAAGGAGAGCGCTCTACCCCTTGAGCTACAGAGCCACTTCCAGTTTTCTGGTGGTTTATTGGAGATTAGAGTTTCACGGACTTTCCTGCCCAGTCTGGCTTTGAACCGTGATCCTCAGATCTCAGCCTCCTGAATAGCTAGGATTACAGATGTGAGCCACCGGTGCCCGGCCCTTTTTTTAATCTACGAAACAAAGTCTTGCCCAACTTTGCCTGGGCTGGCTTGAAGCTTGTGTTCCATCTCCTAAATACCTACGATTATACACCTGAGCCATAGTCCTTGGATATTTTACTCTTAGTTGATTTCTTCTTGTAGGTAATGAAGTGGCCCAAATTAAAATGCTAATATTCCAATTTTGTAAATATGCTATATTAGTGTTTAATTAGACAATTTTAAATACAAAGTTTGATACATAAAAAACATATACACTACATAACCTCCATCATGATGAAAATACAGAATACTTCCATTTCCATCCCAAACTCCTCATACTCCTTCAAAACAGCTCAGTACCTGGTTGCAGATCATCACTTACTTGTTTATGACATGAGAGGGTCATTTTACCTGTTTCAAATTTCATAGCATATAACCTTTGGTAACTGGCTTCTTCATTTTCCTCAATCTTATTCCCCTCCATTGCCAAGGAATATTCTTGGTATGCCTATATGATAATTTGTGTATTTCCAGTTGGTACACTTTTGGACTGTTTCTCATTTGGGGTTATTCTTTAAAAAAAAAAAAAAAAACACTATGAGGGGCTGGGAAGGTGGCTCAGTGGTAGAGCACTTGTCTTGCATGCTTTAGGCCCTGGGTTCAATTCCTCAGCACCACATAAGCAAAAAGAAAAAAGCCGGAAGTGGCGCTGTGGCTCAAGTGGTGGAGCACTAGCCTTGAGCTGAAGAGCTGAGGGACAGCGCCTAGGCCCAGAGTTCAGGCCCCAGGACTGGACCCCCCCCCCCCCCCACCAAAAAAAAAAACCCTATGAACCTTCACTTAGAGTTTCTGTTGACATATGTTATTTCTCTCATTGGATGTCTAGAAATGGGACTGCTAGATGTATAACTGTAGGAAATGGCCAAAATTTTTTTTTGCAAAGTAGCTATTGCATTCTCATTAGCTAAATGCAACATTTCCTAATTCTCCATATTTTCACTAAGTATTATAAGTTTTGATGTTTTAATATTTTAAACTATTCAAATAAGTGTATGGTAGTAACATCTTATAGATTTTATTTACATTTTTGATGAACACTAATATAGAGTATTGTTTCATGTGTTTTGGCTGATTTCTATGTCTTTAATAAAGCATATTATTCAAACACGTGGAGCTTTTTATTAATTTAATCAAGTTGTTTTCTTATTATTACCATAGATCTTTATATATCTTGAATATAATGTGAAAAAAATTTTGATTGGTCATGGGGCTTGAACTCTGGGCTTGGGCTCTCTCCCTGAGCTCTTCAGCTCAAAGCAAGTGCTCTACTGCTTGAGTCACAGCATCACTTCCAGTTTTCTGGTGGTTAATTGGAGATAGGAATCTCACAGACCTTCCTGCCTGAGCTGGCTTTGAACAGTGATCCTCAGACCTCAGCCTCCTGAGTAGCTAGGATTACAGGCATGAGCCACCAGCACCCAGCTGAATACAAGTATTTTGATAGATATGTTTTCTGTATAGTATATAGCTTGCCTTTAAACTTCATTAATACTACTTTTAGGAGAGAAGGTTTTCAATTTGGATAAAATACATTTAATAATTTTT